AGCAAGCTCTGCAATTGAAAAGTGGTTTTATAATTACTTTAAAAAAAAGTAAAAACTTCAAGAAACACTAATGTAATTTTCACATAATTTCTAGCTTCTGTAGTCGATTCTAAGGCTATATATTATGGTGTTAAGGAAACAGCCCCGACTTCTGACACTTGTAAATTATAAGGAAATTATTTAATTCTTTCCAGTATTTTATGCAGGTTTCTACTTTTCAAAGTTTAATTACTCAACCTCAAGGGTTAAGTAATTAAACTTTGAAAGGTTAAGGAAATAAGAATCACGTCTGAAAAGTTTTAAAATAACTACAACCCTATTTTCACAACATTAAGGATTTTTACTTAAAATAAAAATGGGACCACCCTTGTGGTTAAAGCCTATTAAGAAAATAATCATTAAAATCCGTTCAAAATTGTAGTAGTTTTGAGGAACCGTCGCCTTATTAGATGTTGAATAAAAATAAAGTACTTTAAATTATTCAGCCATCTTTAATACATAAAAAGTCGATTATTTTGAGTAAAATAATCGATTATTCTGATTGAATTGGAACACTACATCGATTCGGTGAATCGACGCGAAAGCCTCCTGAATCAGTGCGATAGTACCTAAACTGGCCACGGTATTCTTTTAATTTTTTGCTGTTGGCGGACGCAAGAAGAATGAGTTGTACTTGCTTGACAATGCTTGGCGTCGATAGTACTAAATATAAAGTTGCGGAACTCTTGTATGAAGCTATCATGCTCTCGTTTACTCTACATATAATTCAGCGGGGCCGTACTGTGCAAAATATGTATTTTATGCCCCATATAATAATTACGTTTGAAATTCTAATATGGTTCAGGAATGTAGTTCAACATTAAAACAATCTATATTATATAACAATACTATTTGATTTAATTTGGACTCCCCCGGAAATGTTGTCATTGTCTTATTATCTAATTTAAATTACTTAGAACTGATTCCAAATCGTTTGTAAAATTATTTTGCTGCTCAATAGAAGCAAGTGTCAAGTTAGCCAATAATTTGGCTGGGTTAAAATATAAATATTAATATTAAGCGTATTTATTACCTGTCTTAAATTATACTTTGATAGGTAATAGGTACCTATCTCTTGTTCATAACTTCTTAATTAAATTATTAATACCAATCCAATGATATTTATCATTATAGTTCATAGAATAAATGTCAACGAATAATTAAATAAAAAATATTAAAGGATAGGAAAGAAAATTGTGAAGAACATTTACTTTTATTTTGCTATCGATCATTTTTCATCATAATTACAGTCGGCGCTACCTATCGTATTCCAGCATAAATATTAACCATCGTCTCAACAATAGAGAGGAAGATACTGTTACCAATCTCATATTTCAGTTTCTGTCGCCTATTAAGACACCTACGGGATGATATGGGGTTTTAAATTTTATTATATTACCGCAATTCCCGCGTAGATAGTACTAAATATCAAGTTGCGGGACTCTTGTATGAAGCCATCATGCTCTCGTTTACTCTACATATAATTCAGCGGGGGGTTGTCCATAACTTCTTAATTAAATCATTAATACCAATCCAATGATATTTATCATTATAACTAGATGTTACCCGCGGCTTCGCCCGCATGGTCACTGGGAAATGAACTATCCATTGCTTTTTGAATTGAAAGAAAACTGAGTTTTATAGATTTGTCAGAGATGATTTTTATTGGTAAGAATATTTAATTAGAACAAGATGAAGATAGAGATTGATTTTTTTATTACATAATTAAATAAAGGAGGATAATATTTTTTGTTACGATGTCGTAGTTATTTGGAGGTGCTGGTCTTAAAACTCACGAGGAAGCCTGCATCCCCTTGGATTAAAATATTTCGAGTGCATTAGTCCACCAACACGCACTGATAGAAAAAACCCAATAACTCATTTTGGCCCGACCGGGAATTCAAACCCACATGATTAGAAAACACGCTTGCGACCACTAGAATTCATTAGAGAGACCAAACGTTCGTCTAAAATCCTTTCCTTCCTTAGTTGTCCTTAAATATTGTCATTACCAGCCCCGGCAAGTTCACTAGCGAGCAAGGCCTCTCCAATTATAGGGTGCAATTTATTTACTTTTACAAAAAAGTATTAATGCTTATTTTTCTTTTTAGCCACGGTTATTGGTATAAATGGCATTCCATTTAAAGTATATTCACAGTGAATATAGCCTGCGATAAAGCGGCGGATTTAGGTGATATATGTATGCGGCGTGCGGGGAGTCAACTGTCAACTGATGCGATTTCACAGCCTCAGTGTTGTCGTCTGCAAGGGACTACACTTATTTATCCCTGCAGGTTTCGGGACTCGAGGTGTTCCCCATTACCCGGATAACCCTCACAGCCCATTTCTATGGACCGGTCTTGGGAGCCGTTCAAGAACGGCATTGTAGGTACTCATCTTTAGCGTATTGCGCGCCACCAGGTAGGTGCCTCCAGAGGGTCAGCAGTCTCGAAGCCACGCAGAGTCCCGCGGCCAGGGAGTCGCAGTGTCAATCTTGCCGACAAGTGTGCGCTCCTAATAGCAGCACTCCGGGCCTCCAGTGCTCCTCCCTGGCTCTAGGTTATGGCCTGGTGGATTCCTAGACAGAAGTTGGCGTATCTCGCGCCTCTGGGAAAGGATCTGCCGAAGGATCAGCAACCTCCAGGTCACACGGAGACGCATCTCGATGCGCAGCCGAAGTCACGAACAGGTGCGCGCCCTCCTAGCAGCACGCCGGGCCTTCGGAGTTCGCTTCCCAGAATAGTAGATTATACGCAGCGTTGGTTATGTAACGTCCCGGGAGGAGTCAGGGGCATCCTCGAGGCTCAACGCAAGCCGAGTTGGCCCCACAGCACGTGCACTCACTGCGAAGCGACCCGCTGTACTTCTCCCACATGGGCGGGAGCCGCCGACCGACGGACGTGACCGGCTGCTAGCGCGGTCCGGACATAACTCTTTCGCAGCCAAATCTACATTAAGTGAATATTGCATTTAATTTTTATATATTGAAATATTGTGGTCATGGTAGTATACAATATTTCGTGGAGTTAACGTATTGTGTACTTTCAATAAAAATTTGTTATTTATCTACGGCTGTCAGTCTCTGCTAGTGACAAAAGAGTTGCTATTCAAGTGTTACGAAAATATTTAGCGAGGAAACACAGACAAAGCAACTGGTACAACAAATTATTTTTTTTTTCAACGTGTGGCCAAACAACGTGTCGACAACAAACAAGAGGTGATCAATCAATCCTGGTTGTCCTATGGATGTAGGAGATAATAAGCTGATGGTGAACGTTGTGAGATTTTAGCTCTTACTTTTTAATTCCTGCACACACTCTTAAAAATGTGAAATGGTGAGTTTAGACTCTTTTTTCGTTTATATAAGAGTTAGTAGGTTTTCATTATGCTACGATTGTGCGTTATGATATTTACAACATAAGTCTTTTATAGAATGACAAAAGAGTACGCAGTCCGATGGTAAGCAGATATTGTGGTCCATAGACCTCTATATCTATCTTCGATCATATCGAAGAATCAAAATGCAGCATGCGTTACCACTCCTGAGGACTAATATAAAATGCCTCATTTCCAGTATAATGGTTCTCAGATTCTCTATGCTCAGAATATAAGACACAGCAGCATTAAAGTTGTATTCCACGCTGGTATTTTGTGAGAGCGTGACCCTTTCCCAGTCGAACAGATCCATTTAAACTATAAGCACAATATAGATGCAACGTGGCTCTACCAAGTCTGAAAGTAGCTAGTGTTATACGTCACGTCTTGCCACTAGTTGCAGTTATCTGTAGTCAAGCATAATTTTTAAAATAAGTAGAAAAATAAAGTTCTAGGTTTATAAGCCCTTATCGCATCACGGCCCGCTTACGTCAAAGTAGCAGTTAAATATTAATCAAACAAAAGTATGCCAAGAAAGTTCTGAAACTACGTACCTTCTGCAGGAGCGTCGTTTAATATGAAATTAATTATTCGACGATCTTTGTAGTTACCCTAGTTAAATTTCATGAATGTAAAGATAAAAGTTTCCATCATGGATCATCATCATCATCATTACAGCATATCAAAAGTCCACTGCCGAACGCAGTCCCTCAACACAAACTGCCACATAGAAAGAATATTTGCCAAAAATCGCCACGCTTGGCGTGCACGTTGGCAACCGCGGTGTTTTCATTATTTTAATTTGCTACCCTGTTTCATGTATCTCTGTCACCTTTTACAAAACCCACGGGTTAGTATTGGGTATTGGATTCTCCTGCGCCACCACTACATGACAAACATACATAATTAACATTCAACATATTATTAAATATAAATATAGACTCTTCCTTCCGTGATTTCGCCGAGAGCGGACGTGCGCGATCGCGTGTGTCAATAAGGCTCAAAATAGTTAAAAATTATCAATAATATTAAGAACATTTGACTATTCAACACCAGCGACCGGCTGCGGTGGGGAACTTGCGAGTGAGATAGTAGACTCAATAATTGCCTTCTCGTTCCTGCATCGCATCTTTGCTCACTGACGCAGCAAGCGGTGCCAAAAGAAGACGGATGGTGCTTGTTTTTCATCTCTTTCCTCCCTGCATGATCGCTGTAACTACGTCAACCGCCGTAGCCACAACTACTACGTCCGCTACGAAATACATGCTACGACACTACGACATTAGTTGAAGCATACCTACCACCTGCCAACACACCTACTACAAGTGACGCCGTAACTCTCGACTATAAAATATAACCTATCAATTTGTTCTACACTTCGTTGAGCGGAAAATAAGTTTGAGGCCGTACGAGAGCTCTGAAAATGTTTTGAACACCGGAAAAAATGCAATTCTGATTCCAACCTGCCTAAGATCCCCGACGACAATGAAACATCGCCTCCCAGTTTTGTCAGCTCACGAATTAAGAGAAAGCGCTCCGAAGAAATTCTGACCGATTTAGCGGACTTTAAGGCAGAAATGAAAGAAATGATTACTTCATGGATGGATCAGCAAAACAGTGAAAGAACAAAAATAACATCTGCGTTGAGATCCATAGAGGAATCACTGACATTTCTCTCAACCAAATACGACGACATGTGTAAAAAAGTAGACCTTATGGAGCAAGAGAGGCATGAACAGAAGGAATATATTACTATACTTGAAAATAAGGTGGAAAATCTCATGAAAGCCCAACGTAAATGGTCATTTGAACTGAAAAATATCCCAAGATCGGAAAAGGAATCCAAAGAAATGTTGTTGAGCATGGTAAGCAATTTATGTACATCACTTAAGGTCAATATACAAAGTAATCACATTAAGAATATATCCAGGACGACCGTAAAGGGCGATAAAAAGCCTATTGTTGTCGAAATGTCAACTTATGTCCATAAAATGAACATTACGAGCGCCGCTATAAAAGTACAATAACCATAATAAGAATAATAAATTAAATACCCAGAACCTAGGTCTAAAGGGAACATGTACCCCTATTTTTATTTCTGACCATCTCACACCTAATGGTAATAAACTATACTACTTAGCGAGGGAGTTGTCAAAAAATCTGAAGTATAAATGTTGCTGGACCTCGGTAGGTGAAGTTTTGGTGCGGAAAGATGATTCATCCCTGATCATAAAAATTATGAATGAAGCACAAATAAAAGGTATTTATGAGGCCAACAAATGACTATTCATGATCTGTGTACTAAGTTTCAAGTGGATCCATATCTTTCAAAGTGTTCATGCTATTATTATAGGTTATATACTTAACTTTTTTTGTTATATGTTGCACCTATGTTCTGTTAACTCTGTTTTTGCCAGTTACTCATTCATAACTTACACACTTTTCTTGTCTCACATTTACCTTAATACTTACTCCAACACACAAACACATATTACACTCACACACTTCTCCATAAAAGTTCTGTTTTTGCTAGCTAAACATAATACCTTGCAGTCACACTGTAGATTGATTGCAATAATTAACTATGATCTGAGAGTCTGGAATGTAGGAATATTAATTTTCACTTTTATTCTTTCGTGGTAATCAGCTACCTACAATTGTATAATTGTACCTACAATATACAAATGATCTTAAATTAATACCTATTAGACAAATTCACTACACACAAAAAAATTAATTTTTTTTGTGTTTTGTGTGTAGTGATTAAGTAATAAAACATTATACGGATGGGACAAATTATCCATAAAAAATTAGGTTTTTTTTGTCCCATCCCATGTTATAGACAATATTAGTATAGCTCAGGTCGTCACTTGCACGCCTGAAGAGTGTTATTTACACATCTCTACAAAAAGTCACCTAACCGTTCTTACCCAAAACATAAGCAGTATATACAAAAATCTTGATATTTTTCAAGCTATGCTCCACTCAACTAAAACCGATTGCGACGTGCTAGTTATGACTGAATGTCATCTCTCAAAAACAAAAAGTATTCCCAAACTAAATGATAATTATAACACATACTTTACAAAAAAATACCTTAAACCAATGTGATGGCGTAGTATTTTATGTAAAAAATAATCTAAACATCAATGTATTTGAACCGAACATTACAAACGCGTCCTGCCTTGTTTTGACTATTTACGATACTGTTATAATCGGCATTTATCACACTTAGAAATACTGACGAATTCGTATCATCCCTTCAATCTCTTCTCATACAATATAATTGCTATCCGAATATTATTATAACGGGTGACATAAACATCGACATCAAAATCCACTCCAAAGATCCAAACTGTCATAACTATTTAACATCACTCGCTTATTATGCGATACTCCCAGCTCACAGGCTCCCAACCCGTGATAAAATGAGCTATGATCACATGATGCTGAAAACGTCTCTCCCTGCTAAATCACTTGTTCTTACTAACCCTACCACTGACCACGGTACAGTCATTCTTGATGTGACGTTTGAAACTCTGCGACGCAATCTGGCTCTAAAAACCAAAATTTCAATCAATTTTGATGCCACTTTGAATGACATTAAGGCGGACTTACCTGATATATTAACAATAACAGACCCTTCTGAAACTGCCCAGGTTTTGCTTAATAAAATCTCCACTGCGATTAAAAACAACCAAACTATAAAAAGTGTCCCTTCAAGAAAGATCAAGCCCTGGATAACCCCTGGTGTTTTACGTTGCCTTCGCAATCGCGACAAACTTCATCTAAAACTAAAAAAGTATCCGTATAGTGAAATCTTGAAAGTAACCTATACACGTTATAGAAATCGTTGTAGTAAACTTGTTCGAAAACTTAAAATAATGCACAAAAGAAACAATTTAACTAGGGCTAATAAAAATCCTAAATTACTGTGGAAAACTATAAAATCTACTAAAACTATAAAGATGACTACATACATAACCTACTCTCACTTAAATCCACACCGTTGGAAGTCGCAAATTGTGCTAATAATTACTTCTCTAACTTAGGTAAACGTCTGGCTGAAAACGTATTACCGTCCCCTATGTCTTATAATTTTATTCGTGGCATAAATAGTATTAAATGTCCCTCTTCATGCAATTCTTTAGTTCTTTTAGCAACAGATACAGTAGAAATTAATACAATTATCTGTAACTTGTCTAACGACTCCGCCCCCGGATGGGATAAACATTCCTACTGCTTTTATTAAAATGGTCAAAAATTATCTCACCCCCGTCCTTTGTCTTGTGTATAACCTCTGTTTCGATAAAGGCTGTTTCCCCTCTGTTTTCAAAAAAGCTATTGTTACACCCATCTATAAAAGTGGAAATAAAGATGAAACTGAAAATTATAGTCCTATCTCTGTACTTCCAGTTCTGGCAAAAATTTTGGAAAAGCTCATTAACAACCGCATTAACGAATTCCTTTACAAAAACAGCTTGCAATCAAATAATCAATTTGGCTTCAGAAATGGCGTCTCCACTG